CACCACTCCCACCACCACCCCCACCCCCTCCACTGCCTCCACCGCCACCTCCGCCACCCCCACCAGCCCCTCCAGCACCCTTGCCCCCCTTGCCCTTGCCGGTGCGGCGTCTCCCGCTCGGGGCAGACGCAGCGCCGACCGACTCGAAACCAACGAGGTCGGCCGCAGCAGCAGAGGCAACAGAGGGAAAAAGGGGGGAGGGGGAACACCCCTCAAAGACGGGGGTGCGAGGGTCACCACGAGAGGCTCCTACAGCGACTATGCTCTTCTCTGCTGCTAGGAGGGCCTTCTCGAGGAGGTCAACGGTGAGAGTGGTGGGGCAAACTGAGAGGAAGTGGTCCCTGACTACGCGAAGGGAGTCAGGGAGGCGGGTGACTATGTAGTAGAGGGTGATGTACATGGGGGAGGGGTTCTTGGCGTAGAACTCAGCAGGAAGCGCAGCGCGGTAGCGAGTGTCACTAGTGCGGAGGTGCGTAATGAGGTCAGCGACTGTGGGAAAGGCAGCAAGGTCAGGGAAGAGGTATGGTAGCATGAGGCGGCTCAGTGCAGCAGTGGCAGGGGAGGAGTAGCGCGCAACTACAGCGTCGTACAAGGTCTGAGCACTCTTGTACTGGCTAAAGTGCGCACGCTCAGAGGTAGGCAGGTGGCGACGCACAGCAAGACGTGCAGCAGCATCGCGTGTGGCCCACTGTGAGCGAACAGTGGCGTCGGCATCAGCAGCAGGGGCAGGAGAGGCACCAGAGGTGAGGTCAAAGAGGGAGAGACCGTCTGCCCTATCGCACTGTAGGAAAAGCTGCAGGTCATCTACCCAGACGTCAAAGTCAATGGCCCGACCCTCAGCGTCAAAAGCGAGGACACTAGGGGTAGCCATGACAGCAGTAGACTAGCAGCGTGAACAGTAGGGTAAGGGCAGTGCAGTGACAGAGGCGCTGCTCTTACCGGACAGGGCGGCTCGGGCGGCTCGGCGGCTCGGCGGCTCGGCAACTCGGCGGCTCGGGCGGCTCGGGTGGCTCGGCGGTACGGCGGCTCGGCAGCAACTGCGGCTCGGCGACTCGGCGGCTCGGGCGGCTCGGGCGGCTCGGCGGTACGGCGGCTCGGCAGCAACTGCAGCTCGGCGGCTCGGCGACCCGGCGGCTCGGGCGGCTCAGGTGGCGCGGCGGCTCGGGCGGCTCGGGTGGATCGGGCGGCTCGGCAGCAGCTCGGCGGCGCCGGCGGCTCGGTGGTGACGGCGGGGCCGCGTGGGGACGGCGGCGGGGCCGGGTGGAGCGGCGTCGGGGCCGGGTGGAGCGGCGTCGGGGCCAGTAGAGGCGGCGCCGGGGCCGGGAAGGGCAGCTCCGGGGCCGCAGGGGTAGGCGACGGGGCCAGCAGAGGCGGCGCCGAGGCAGGGAAGGGCGGCGCCGGGGCCGCAGGGGTAGGTGACGGGGCCGCCACGGCGGCTAGGAGGGGGGGGGGGGGGGTCGCGAGGGCGGCTTGAAGAGGCCGCGAGGGCGGCTAGAAAGGGCCGCGAGGGCGGCGTGAAAGGGCCGCGAGGGCGGCGCGACGCGACGGAGCCGCGAGGGCGGCGGATCGGGGCCGCGAGGGCGGCGCGACGCGGCCGCTAGGGCGGCGCGACGTGAAGGGGCCGCGAGGGCGACGCGACGGGGCCGCAAGCGCGACGCGACGGGGCCGCTAAGGCGGCGCGACAGGGTCGAGAGAGGGGAGCGCGACTCGGGCAGTGTAGAGCGCGCTTCGGGCAGGGAAAAAAAGGTGGTGGGCCCTAGGAACAGTTCCCACAGGGGAACCTGCTCGATACCATGAGAAACTGAACGAGAATGAATTGACTAAGGGAAAATTGGGTACAAATACAAACCCTAGAAAACTGTACCCCATATGTGCTACCCCACTATAGCCTACAGTAGCTATGTCATATAAATCTGACAAACCTTCCTCCTCTCAACTTTGAGAGGGTACCAAAGCTAGATTCCTGGTTGTAAAGTTTTCCCTAGTTGTTATGGCTGCGTTCTCTCACGGCGCGCAGTCTGCTAGCACCCTGCTAGTCGTGCGCCTCCTCCTCATCGTCCGCCCGATCCCCCCTGTTCGTTGCACGCCTCCGCCACCTCACTTGTGCGCCTCTTCCTGCTCGCCACACGCTTCTTCCTGCTCGGCCGCACACCTACCGCTGCGTTAGTCGCTGTGCTTGACATCCGGTTCTGCCTTCCGCGTCCCTGACCATATTATCTCTTTTCTTTGCTTGCTAATTGCTCTCGCTTCTCCACTTTAATGGAGCTTTCTAAATGTCTTCTATTTCAAGGGGCATTTCTTGCATTTGTTTCTTGCTGCATGCAACTTATGGGGTGTGTTGGAATATATATATCCCAATATACAAATTGCCTTCAACTCAGTATTTTGTTTAGAAAGCTATATTTAATTGTTATTGTTCATCATATTTTCCTACCATTGCATATATATTCTGACGTATGAAGCTTGATATATGGGGCGGGGCAGGTACGGTTGAAATGGGCCGGTGTGGAATGACCCAAGGAGCACTCTCCAGCTCCACATTCGTGCCGCTCCCCTCAATAGCCAGAATATGTCTCAACAGCATTCGCCATCTTTGATCAGCAGCACCACCCTTCCAAACGCCAACAATACGCCATCCTGACCTCATTGACGTACCTCGGCGCATCATTTGATACCTTGAGGCTCACAAACCCATACCCCAGTGCCAGCTTTGCATCACCTTTCCTGATGTCGAGACTTCTCCCCTCTAGTCGTGGTACATGCAAATCCACAAGCACTATATCCGATAGGATAGACGATGTATCCCTGTCCAAACAAGTTGCGCTTCCATACATTAAGTTCGCATTAACTCAAGGCGATAGGATGCGGTGGGGTTAGGCTTGGAAAGGTCTGTTTGGTGAACGGTGGTATGTGGTGGTATGCATGGAAGGAATGAATAGTCTTTGAGAACATATTTCTGTGTTTTCTGCTGCTCCACTCCATTTTCACTTGGCTGCCTCCTGTTTCCCCGCGGCCCACTCTTTCATTGCAACTCTTCTTGCCCTCTCCACTCTCCCTTCACTCCTCTCTGCCCTGTTCCCTCATACTTCTTACTCCCCACTCTGAAACTTACTATGCTTTCCCCTGTCTCTTGGTGTTGCAAGCAGGTGTTTTCGGACCCTCTTCTCTCTGCCTTTCCTGATCCCACCCTCGGGGATTGCACCTTCTTTCCCAGGTGTCCACACACCTCTCACTTCAGCATTTGTGAAAGTATGAAGTTTCATATTTATCAAAGTTAGCAGGTAGAAACAGAATTGAAGAAAAGGAGGAGGTTTCACTAGCAGCAGTTGGGATACATATAGCAAACCCTAACTGGGTTGTACTCGCTATAGAGCACCCCACTACAGGCTAGATAATAACATTCTGACACACCCCCATAGCCAAAGTGGGGTGTAATCAGCACAATGAGCAGGCATAGCAGGATTTCACAATAATAAGCAAAGCTAGAGGTAATCACAGCGGGCAAGTGAGGAGGAGGAACTGTGGAAGGAGAGAAGATGGGAGGCAACGACTGAAGTTGCAGAGGCACGGGCACAGGAGCGGCTGACTCAGTGGCTACCGAAGCAAGGGCGACGGACTACTGGAGTGACTGGCTCCGCGGCTAAGACGAGCGGCAGGAGCAACGGACCCACTGGCGACTGGTGCAACAGGCTCACTGGCTACTAAAGCAAGGGCGATGGACTACAGGCGCTGCAGGCGACACGACAGCTACCTCCACACAACCTCCTCCAACTGACCCACACCCTTGACACACACCCCCTGCTGAACCCCTAACTCCACTCCCACGTCACCCCCCTAGCGCCATTCCCCTCGGCTCCCACACCTCCACCCCCCTCAGCAGCAGCTGCAGCAGTGGGAGACGAACAAGGAGGTGGGGAGAGGGAAGGGGAGTACCCACACCGCGCACCCCCATGCTCGCCAAACCACACCCCCCACCACCGCGGAACGCACGGCGGCACGGGAGGAATGGGCAGCACGGGGGGGGGGGGGGGGCGGGGGGGGAGGGCGGTACAGGAGGGGGGGCCACGCGTCTCTCCTCAGGGCGCCAAAACGGACGGGCGGGGGGGGCGCGCGCGGCTCCCCAGGGCGCCGCGACGAACGGGCGGGGGGTGCGCGCGGCTCCCCAGGGCACCGCGACAAGAAGGGCGGGGGCCGCGCGTGCTCCCCAGGGCGCCGCGACGAGCAGGGCGGGGGCCGCGCGCGGGTCCCCAAGGCCGCGCGACGGGCAGACGGGCCGCGCGCGGCTTGTAGGCCCGCGCACGGCCTGCAGGGCGACGCGACGGGAAGGGCGGGGGGCTGCGCGCGGGTCCCCCACGGTAGGAAACCGCCGCGCGCCTCGGGGCGCACGGTGGGCAGAAAACCGCCGCGCGCCTCGAGCGCACGGCGCACGGCAGGAAGAAGGCGTCGCACGCCACGGGGCGTGCAACAGACAGAGTAGCAGCGGAAGCAGTTAGGTGGTGGGCCCACCCACAGGATCGACCCAAGGGGGTCGACCTGCTCTGAAACCATATCAAAGTTAGCAGGTAGAAACAGAATTGAAGAAAAGGAGGAGGTTTCACTAGCAGCAGTTGGGATACATATAGCAAACCCTAACTGGGTTGTACTCGCTATAGATCACCCCACTACAGGCTAGATAATAACATTCTGACAATATTCATCGATATCAGCAGTCAAAGTAGAGCCTTGTGTCCTTATTATATCAACATTTTTCAGCTTGTTGCCTGCTGCCTGCCTGTTTCCTCCCCACTTCATCTCCCTGCCTGTTTCCAAACTTGCCAGCAATGCCACCCTCTTTGACTCGGTCTTTCCGAACCTTCTTATCAGCTTCGGCAGCACGACCTGGGCCGTTCCACCCACCAACTACCTATTCCTCGGGGTGAGTGCATTCCGTCCAACTACCTATTCTTTGTACACGTCGATTTTTTTTTTGCTGTGTTATATTTCCAATTGAACGACTGGGAATGAAACCTGAGAGTAGGTGTGTGTCTCCTCCCTTTCTATGCTTCTCACACAATCTGAAGCTAAAGAGATGTGCAGGTGCAACTGTCACTTCTCTTGGTTCAATTGCTCAACCCCCTCCACCCTTCCCTCTTGCTCCTCATTCACCCCTTCCACACCAAACACGTTCGTGTCTCCTTCCTTTTCCTGTTCTTCCCCAACCCCTTCTCTTTCCCTCCCTTATCCTCCTCTCTGTTGTGCCCCCTTCTCCCCTCTTCATCTTTCGCACACTCTTCACTCCCCCTACCCTTGACTTCCTCGCCCCTTTCCCTCCCTCCCTGCAGGGCTTCATAGAGCGCACCGGCATGGCTCTGCTTTGCTTGGCAGCCCTCCCCATTTCCTCCTCGCGTGTTTCTGCCATCATTGGAGGTGCGCACTTAAGCAGAGTAACCATGAAACCATGCATCCGTGTAACCATGTAACCTTCTTGTTTCTGTTATGAATGCCTGGTTCCATCCCCCATTGCCTCCCCAGCACATCCGATAGTGCCCTTCCAACTCTAGAACCAGGGGGGGATGGGGGGGACATGGAGAATCCTGCATCCCTCCTTCATGTCCCATGCCTCCCCACCTTGAACAATCCTGCTCTTCCCGTCCCTCCCACCCATTCCTCCCGCTCCTACACACCCTCAGAGTCGTGGCTGCAGAACTTCTACATCCTCATGGACGAGGAGAGAGGCGAGGGCTGTCTTCCTGTCTCCCCATCTTGACAGACAAGCGTGCTCCTTCCCTCATATTCTCAGGTCTTTCTTTCATAGCCCCTACCTCGCCCCATCCCACACATCACCCTCAGAGTCGTGGCTGCAGAACTTTTACATCCTCATGGACGAGGAGAGAGGGCTGTCCGGCTGGCAACCCCTCAATTGTGAGTCATGCTGCTGCTACCCCCTCATACGTCATTTCCTCCTTTGCTCAGTTGACTAGTGCTGTCTTTGCATTGTGGAGTATGTCCTTGTCATTCTTTCTGTCTCTGTCCTCTTCTTTTCCATTCAACCTGTACTTGCAGGCTCTACTGGCCAGGAGCTTTTCCGAACGTCACTTCCGCAAGGTGCTTCCTTCTCCTCTCCTGCCTTAGCGCTTCCTGTCATCCACCTCACCTGCCCTTCCTCTTCACTTCACAACCCATGAATAAGGTTCTAGATCGATTGCCACTTGTGGTTACCACCAACGCCTATGTTGCGAAAGACGCGTCCGGCGTCCTGGACGCATGCATCCAGACGCAGGACGCAGCACCAGGACCAGAAAGACGCAAGCCCGGGCAGGGCAAAAAAATCCCCCGGGCAGGCAAAAACATTTGTTATAGGGCATGGGAAGACAAGGGGGGGGGGGGGGGGGGGGGGCGTTCCACACTTTCAAGGCAAATTTGGCCCCAACAACAATTTTTTCCCCCAAAACTCAAGATTAAGGTGAGAGGAAGCCATAACGGAGTCAAGCTAGTAAGCTAAAACCTCTAGGGTTTTCGAAAGAGAATTGGGTGGGTGGGTAAAATGAGAAACCACAAATGACTTGGTTGCATTGCTAAATGGGCTTGGTGGTGGGCCACAAAGGTTGGGTTTTCTAGATGTGATGTGGTTGAGAGATTTGAGAAATTCAAGTTTGCATGAAGGGTTATGAAATGTTGGGGGGGCTGTTTTAGAATGTCGATTTGGGGAAGGGTGGGTCGAAATTTCGCGATTTCGAGATTCGCGTCGAAATCGCGAATGTGAATTTCGCGATCGAGAAATTATTTTTTTCGGGCAGCCCGAAAAAACAATCGATGTGCGTCCTGTGTCCGAGCGTCCAGACGCTGCGTCGAGACGCAGGCCGCAGCGTCCTCCCTGCGTCTTTCTCAACATAGACCAACGCCACGAGCTGGGCTTGAACAGCAGGTCTCACTTCACTCATTCGAGTCTTGATTGACTCTTTCGCATGCTGCTGACAAGGTCCTTGATTTTCTTCGTTGCCATCGCCCTCTCTTTATGTGATAACACTTTCTTCCCTCCTCCTCCCTCCCTCCCTCCATTCCCCCACCGCACTGCCACCCCCACCTCGCACCTCTTCGTTTCGTCCATTCTCTTCCCCCCCCTTCTCCCCCTCCTTCCCCCCCCTCCCCCCCCTCCCCCGCCCGTTCCCCTTCGCATCCTCGTATTGTCGTCATATCAGAAGGTAACCCTGCACCTGCCACGCCCAACACCACAGCACCCAGTCGCGGGCATGGGCCAGGTGAGAATCTTCTTGAAATTTCTTTGTGACTCCAATATACCCAGGTGAGAGGGGCCATGTGCAGGTGAGATTGAGCAGTTGAGCTCACTGTGACACGCTTATAGCACGCTGTGACACCCTTTAATTCGCTAGAAGCATGTTTTAGCATGCAATTGTAACACACTGTGCTGCTCTCTCTCTGCTGGGGCATCGTCCCACCCACCCACCCTAGGGCCCTGTTTTGTCTTGTGGTGGCTGCAGGTACTTCATTTTCTTCCACTCCGCACCTCTTCCCCCTCCCTCAATCTCTTCCATTACTGTCTCTTTGATCCTTCCCCCACCACTTCACATCATCTCCATCCTCTCCTTCCTCCCGACTCTCTGTCCACGTCAATCTCTTTCTCCCCGTCATCCCCACTGCCTCCTGCAGAGAGTGTGCGCCCGTCGAGTCCGAGTCAAGGCGCACAAGGTATGTGTGCATTGTGCAACCTGATTGTGGTTGGTATTTCAAGAAAATACAGGGATGTGTTATTCTTGAGATGGAGAATGGGAAGGAAGAGGAGAGAGCGCAGAGGATAGGAGAGGAGATCCATGGATTGCTTGCCATGCCTAAGCTTGGCCCATGCAGCCCTTCAGTTGAATCTTGTTACTGAAGGGAAGCACTCTTGGGAATTACGGCACTCTTGTTTCTCTTTCATCAACAATTTACTGTGCAGGCGAGCAATCATTGAGACCGGAGGCTAAGGGTGCATTTGCTCTGGACAAGCATTGATGAAAGTTCACGTGTCCTTGTTCTCTCTCACCTCCGGTTTGTTGTGCAGGCGAGCCACTCTCAACGCCGGAGGCAAAGGGTACGTCTGGTTTGAAGCACCTCTTTGTGGAGCCCCGCTCGATTTTGCAGCCCACTTCTTGTCTTGCTATATCACGCCACAGGCCTTCAGCATGTGCAAACTTGAGGCAGCAATTTGGTGCTGCCAACCCTTTTTACTTCAGTTGTGGCGTTATGCTGAGTGAATTTCTTTACCGTGGTTCTTTTTTGCAGGCGCAACGGCTACCAACAGCAGGACCAAAACTAATATATATCTACTCGTGCTGCTTGTTCTCTTGGTATTGGTGGTTTAGGTGTAGCCCATTCTGCTACTAAGATTATCTTTCAGTGTTTTTATACAAGCTTAACCCTGATATGTAGCATTCTTTAGCGAACCAAGAACCGTTACAAATCAACAATTAGATATAGAGATTATGCCGATGGAAAAACTGGGCAAAAACATGAATCGAGCGAGATTCACTTTTCGTATCGAAGATGTTGGCCAGGGATTGTACCGCGTACACGACATCTGGTAATTCTGAACTGACATTCCAGATAATAGCCAGATATCACGGTTACGGAATTCATTCCCCGCCCTTCCCGCTCGCCCTTGCGCCTCTCGTCGGTCTCCCCCCCCTCGCCCCTCGCTCTCCCCGCGCATTCCCCTCGCTCCCCCACGCGCCTCGCTCCCGCCCTCCGTTTTCCTGCATCCCCCGCGGTCGCGCCTGCTCTTCCGCTTCCCTCCACGTCGATCGACCCGCCCACGCGCCTCGCTCCTTCCCCCCACAACCCCCGGCTCCGCCTGCTCCCGCTTCCCCGCACGTCCGTCAACCCGTCCGCGCCGCGCCTGCTGCCCCGGGGAGGTGGGAGGGAGGAAGGGTGGGGTGAGGCAGGAGTGCGTTGCGTGAAGGCTTGTATGTGTTTAGGGGTTGGGAGGAATGGAAAGAGGTGGTGGAAAGGGGTTGGTGAGGGGCGCAAAAGGCTACACACGGAGTCACCCCTCCCTCCTCAGCACATCATGATGCCATCATCATCATATCATCATCACATCATAATCACATCATAGTCACATCATCAGAATCACATCATAATCACATCACCATAATCACATCATAATCACATCATAATCACACCATAATCACATCATAATCACAAATCACACCATAATCACATCATCATCACATCAACAGTCCGTGCCCATCGCTAATGACACCGTGCAACTCTTTCCATGCATCCTCCCAACCGCTCCCAACCAGCTCCTCTCCCCTCCCTCTCGTACGCGCCCTCACGCCAGCCCAGCACAGCACAGCACAGCACAGCACAGCACAGCACAGCACAGCACAGCACAGCACAGCACAGCCCAGCACAGCACAGCACAGCACAGCACAGCACAGCACAGCGCATTGCACACGCGCCCTGCCATGGAACTCAACCAACAGGAACGGCCGGCTGGCTCAGTGGAAGGGGGAAGGCCGTCGCTGCAGGAGCAGCAACAGGAGGAGCCTGGGCAGAGGGGGGTGCGATCGCTGCAGGAGGTAGAGGAGGAGGCGAGGCGGCAGGTGGACCCGTCTGTCTTCCTCATCCTCCTCAACTGCGCCTCACCAGGCGTTCCTGAAGAACAGGTGGGTGGGTGGTGGCGGGGAGGGTGAGGGGAAGAGGAGCTGTTCCATGGGCGGAGGAGGCGGAGGAGGAGGCAAGGGCGCAGGTGGACTCGTCTGCGTTCAGCATCCTCCTCAACTGCGCCTCGCCTGGCCGGCGTCCCTGGGGAGCAGGTGGGTGGGATGGGTGAGGGGCAGGTGGATGGGAGAGGGGCATGTGGGTGGGAGAGGAGAGGGTGGGTAGAGTGGCACTAGTTGGTGCAGGGCTATCTGGGCAGATTGCATGCCACTCACCTCTGCTGCTCACTTGATTGATACACCACTTCCCCCCCCCCCCCCCCCCCCCCCCCTCCCCCCCCACTTTGTGCCTTTTTCCCAGCCCGGCTCACTAGCATTTTCCCGTCCCATTGTTGCCTTTGTCTTTCCTATCGCTTCTTTTCCCATTGCCGTGGTTTCCATTTTGTCCCCCACACCACACGTTACTACCAACTGCTGCTGAGCTTCTCCTCCCTGCTTTTCCCAATGCTGTTGTCCCCATGCCATTTACGGCCTCTCCTATTTCCTGCTTGCCCCACCACCCACCGCTGCCTTTCTGGCGGTGCACGCCTCGTCTCTTTTCCCTCCTCGTCCCCTTCCCCACCGCTGCCAGCTGGCGGTGCACTTCTCGTCGCGCTTCAACCGCAGGCCCCACCCTAACAGCGCGCTTGAGAAGATGATGCACACAGTGAGTGGTGGAGTGCGGTGGTGGGTGGTGGGTCGTGGTGGGGTGTGGTGTGAATCGACTCTTAATACACTTCTTCAACCGCATGCCCCACTGCACAACACAATGCTTTCATTTCACATCCATACACTCAGCACCCTCGCATGCTCTCACATTCACACCCCTCACCTCACCCTCCCTTCCCCCCCTGCCTCTTCCCCCCTTACTTCACACATTCAGGCAGTTCAATAAATTACCTAGCCATAGGAACTGGTTTGACCTCATTCGCACACCTACGCAGCCCGTGGCGCTTGTTTGTGCGTTCGATGGCCCGAAACTGTCCAAGGATAGGCCACTACGCAACATGTTGTCGTTTCATCCTCTGGTTGCTATTTTTAGCAACGTTTCTTCACACATTCAGGCATTTCAATCAATTACCTTGCCATACGAACTGGTTTGACCTCATTCGCACACCTACGCAGCCCGCAACGCTTGCTTGTGCGTTCGATAGCCCGAAACTATACATGGATAGGCCAGTACGCAACATGTTGCAGTTTCATCGTCTGGTTGCTATTTTTAGCACCGTTTCTTCCCAAATTCAGGCACTTCAATCAATTACCTTGCCATAGGAACTGGTTTGACCTCATTCGCACACCTACGCAGCCCGCGACGCTTGTTTGTGCGTTCGATGGCCCGAACCGTGCAAGGATAGGCCAGTACGCAACATGTTGTCGTTTCATCGTCTGGTTGCTATTTTAGCACCGTTGCTTCACACATTCAGGCAGTTCAATCAATTTCCTTGCCATAGGAACTGGTTTGACCTCATTCGCACACCTACGCAGCCCGTGGCGCTTGTTTGTGCGTTCGATGGCCTGAAACCGTGCAAGGATAGGCCAGTACGCAACATGTTGTCGTTTCATCGTCTGGTTGCTATTTTTAGCACCGTTGCTTCACACATTCAGGCAGTTCAATCAATTACCTTGCCATAGGAACTGGTTTGACCTCATTCGCACACCTCCGCAGCCCGTGGCGCTTGTTTGTGCGTTCGATGGCCCAAAACTGTGGATGGATAGGCCAATACGCAACATGTTGCCGTTTCATCGTCTGGTTGCTATTTTTAGCACCGTTTCTTCCCAAATCAGGCACTTCAATCAATTACCTTGCCATAGGAACTGATTTGACCTCATTCTCACACCTACGCAGCCCGTGGCGCTTGTTTGTGCGTTCGATGGCCCGAAATTGTCCAAGGATAGGCCAGTACACAACATGTTGTCGTTTCATCCTCTGGTTGCAATTTTTAGCAACGTTTCTTCACACATTCAGGCAGTTCAATCAATTACCTTGCCATAGGAACTGGTTTGATCTCATTCGCACACCTACGCAGCCCGCGACGCTTGTTTGTGCGTTCAATGGCCCGAAACCGTGCAAGGATAGGCCAGTACGCAACATGTTGTCGTTTCATCATCTGGTTGCTATTTTTAGCACCGTTGCTTTACACATTCAGGCAGTTCAATCAATTACCTTGCCATAGGAACTGGTTTGACCTCATTCGCACACCTCCGCAGCCCGTGGCGCTTGTTTGTGCGTTCGATGGCCCGAAACTGTGGATGGATAGGCTAGTACGCAACATGTTGCCGTTTCATCGTCTGGTTGCTATTTTTAGCACCGTTTCTTCCCAAATTCAGGCACTTCAATCAATTACCTTGCCATAGGAACTAGTTTGACCTCATTCTCACACCTACGCAGCCCGTGGCGCTTGTTTGTGCGTTCGATGGCCCGAAACCGTGCAAGGATAGGCCAGTACGCAACATGTTGCCGTTTCATCGTCTGGTTGCTATTTTTAGCACCGTTTCTTCCCAAATTCAGGCACTTCAATCAATTACCTGGCCATAGGTACTGGTTTGACCTCATTCGCACACCTACGCAGCCCGCGACGCTTGTTTGTGCGTTCGATGGCCCGAAACTGTGCAAGGATAGGCCAGTACGCAACATATTGTCGTTTCATCATCTGGTTGCTATTTTTAACACCGTTTCTTCATACATTGAGGCACTTCAATCAATTACCTTGCCATAGGAACTGGTTTGACCTCATTCGCACAACTACGCAGCCTGTGGCACTTGTTTGTGCGTTTGATGGCCCGAAACTGTGCAAGGATAGGCCAGTACGCAACATGATGCCGTTCCATCGTCTGGTTGTTATAGTTAGCACCGTTTCTTCACAAATTCAGGTACTTCAACCAATTATCTTGCCATAGGAACTGGTGTGACCTCATCCGCATAACTACGCAGCAGTTGACGCTAGCTTGTGCGTCTGATTTCTTGAAACTGCGCAAGGATAGGGCGGTACGCAGCATGTCTCCGTTTCATCGACGGATCGTGCCATTGTAATAATTGTAACTAAAGTTGTTGAGGTTGTTACGTACATGTAACCATCGTGCAATACAAAGATATTTATGATTACGAAGTGAAGTTGTTGATTTTATGTAAATGTTGCGCTCGGCTGGAGCAGATAAAAGCGTGGCTGTTTCTTTTGGCTGACTAACACGAGATTAATTGCTGGGCACGAGAACCAATATCTTGTTGTCCGCTATTCATGCTGAGAAGCACAACATAATATTTTGTTCAATAACCTACAGGCATTACAAACATTATAGTGATTGCAATTTTGTTAATAGACTGCACATACCACAACCGACACAAACCGGTATGGTTTGGCTGCTGAATGGTAGTCGATTATCTGCCGAAGCGGACCCCGCGCGCTTCGTGATACAGAACCAGGGGGAGCTGGTCCTGTTGTCGTTTCTGTTCTGTTTATCTTGCTCAACCTTGCTGGCAGCGCCACTAGGGGAGGTGTTCGGTCGTTGAGTGGCCCGCTAATCCTCCCTGTCGTTAAAACTGTGACAACGTCACCTTTGACGTGATCAGTGCAGCGCAACTCACCTGCCAGCGTGTGCCTGTACATCATCCCTCCAACGATCAAACCCTAGTTGACATCCAGTGTCCACTCCTCCCAGTCACAACCACCCCCCATAACTCTCCCGCAGTTTGAATTCAACAATTTGAAATCGTGCCCAGGCCTTCCTGTAGTCTGCCTAAAGGAACGCCGCGCTAAGGCTTTGCCTGCGAGCCATAAAAAGTCGTGATCACTCTTTTTATAGCAGAAGTTCCTGAAACGCGCGGTGTCGCTTGAGATGCTGGACGGGCGATCCGTAGCTCTAGCGAGGCTGCTCCCGTTCATCCCCCCGCCGCTGCCAGTCTGTTGTCACTGCAGCATCCTTATCTGCGAGCCGCAACAGATGACGGGTCCTTGCGACAAAGATAGATGCGTTGACGTACCGCGTCGGCTGCTGCTCTTTATCTCGTACTGCCGAGCCGCAGTTACTTCTGCCTTTTACGTACCGCGTCTGCTGCTGCTCATAAGGCCCCAGGGACATCTGCCTTGGCGTACCGCGTCTGCTGCTGACTAGGCATACCGCAACTGCCTTTGCTGCCTTGTCGTACCGCACCCACCTTTCCTTGAGGCCATGTCTGTAAACTAGGCGCTGTAGCAACAGAAGCAAACCCCTCACGGTCCATAAGAAGAAGCTTACAATGGGCTGATTCCCTGTCATTCATCAGACACTAGCTTCGTGATACCTTACATACGTTCGAACCTCCAGTGCGCCCTCAACAACCTAGCGAAATGGCCGGCCGTCGCCCTGCTAGAGGCAAAAGATCGCCCACCCCGGAAGGTGAGCATGTCGGTGTGCATACGCTATGGCGTGGTTGTTCGCTGATTACACCATGCGTACCTGTCCCGACAGCTGTAACTCAAAACCAACCCAAATCTTGTGTTCCCTTTGTGTGGCAGGGAGCCGTGGATTTCGTAGCCTCAAAGTGGTGAACAATGCTTCTCCGACCACTGAACAGGCGCCTGCCAACAACGAAACCAGCGGCCACGCGCCAGTACCGCGGACGTCCAACCTGCAGATAAACGCAGTTGTTCCGGTTGCTGGCGCTTATGCCTCACCTGCTGCATATGGAACACGTAGCACAAGCGCGCGCCGTGGGGCAATCACAAACGCTACAGCCGCTGTTGGTGGTTCCCCTCAGCAGGCGGGGCAGCGTCAGCAATCGGCCGCCACTGGTGGTCGTTCCTCGCAGCAGGCGCGGCAGCGTCAGCATACTGCCGCCGCTGCTGGTCGTTCCCTGCAGCAGGGGGGTGTGCATTACTCCTCTACCACTGCTGCCGGTGCTTCACAGCCGCAGGGACCTCCTCCCCTTCCTACCGCCGCTGCTGCTGGCTACTCGAGTCAGCAGGAGCTGCTGCATCACTCCTCTGCCGCTGCTGCCGGTGCTTCACAGCCGCAGGGACCTCCTCCCCTTCCTACCGCCGCTGCAGCTGGCTACTCGAGTCAGCAGGAGCTGCTCCATCACTCCTCTGCCGCTGCTGCCGGTGCTTCACAGCTGCAGGGTCCTCCTCCCCTTCCTACCGCCGCTGCTGCTGGCTACTCGAGTCAGCAGGAGGTGCTGCATCACTCCTCTGCCGCTGCTGCCGGTGCTTCACAGCTGCAGGGTCCTCCTCCCCTTCCTACCGCCGCTGCTGCTGGCTACTCGAGTCAGCAGGAGCTGCTGCATCACTCCTCTGCCACTGCTGCCGGTGCTTCACAGCTGCAAGGTCCTCCTCCCCTTCCTACCGCCGCTGCTGCTGGCTACTCGAGTCAGCAGGAGGTGCTGCATCACTCCTCTGCCGGTGCTTCACAGCTGCAGGGTCCTCCTCCCCTTCCTACCGCCGCTGCTGCTGGCTACTCGAGTCAGCAGGAGGTGCTGCATCACTCCTCTGCCGCTGCTGCCGGTGCTTCACAGCTGCAGGGTCCTCCTCCCCTTCCTACCGCCGCTGCTGCTGGCTACTCGCATCAGCAGGAGGACCTGCATCTGCCTACCGCTGCCTCTGCTTTTGATACCTGGCTGCAGGGACCTCCTAACCTTCCTACCACCGCTGCTGCTGGTTTCGCTGCTGAGCAGGGGGGACTGCATCAGTTTACAGCTGCCGCTGATCCTGGGTGCGTCTCGCATGAACCTCCACCTCTTGCCTCCGCTGCTGCTGCCGGTCAGTACACTCAACAGGGGAGTAACCTGTTCGCAACAAATGCCACCGCTGCAGCAGATCCATTCGCCAATAACCAGCCGCCCAGCAGGCCTAGCAATCCTCCCTCTGCCCATCGTATGGAGGGAATGGCAACTGAGGATGGTCCATCCTCTCCATTTGCGCTGCCGAACCATACTGCAGTACCTACAAGGGGCGTAGTGACAAACCCTGCACCGGAAAGAGAGCCTGTTTATGTGGCCGCCTTCCAGACTCACCTCGGGGAAACTTTGGGGCCAGCACCACCCACGGGAGACGGTACTGTTGTTGGAAGGGCAGAGTTCGATGCCATGATGGCGGAGGTTCGACGGCTGCAACGTGAGAACTTGACCTTGCAGAATCAGGTTGCAGCATATGGTCGTTCACAATCACCTTCCCCGTCATCATCTTCCGATGATGACGACGAACATGCATCCCCCCAAGCACCACCCTCCCAACCCCTAGGTGTCCCGGCTCAGGGGGCGCAGCCGCAAGTGATCCTGGCCAACAGGCGTACTGTGGGAACAGTAGTTGGCGAGGCACACAACATGGGGATCGCTCCGGACTATAACACATTCGCGCCGGATCTCGAACCGTTCGCAACAAAGCTGCACGGTGCCATGAAGATGTTTCCACCTGCGAACGGTGGCCTGTATGTAAGTTTTGGTGTATGCATATTTGTTATGTTGATGTCGCCCAACATAGCCTCGGTAATTGCTTGTCATGTGCTTGCAAGTGCTCCAAACCCCAAACCCTTCTCCCATCACGCACACTGCCCCAAACTATTATCCATGCCCCTTAGCATTCCCCCATCACTTGCTGCCCACCACCCTCCAGCCCTAAACCCGAAACCCCAATGTGAGTGTGATAATCCGTTCGTTGCTAATCTACCATTCTTTTAACTCCAGGTTGTCATGTCTAACACAATCGAGATCCTTGTGCACAAGACGCCAAATAGACAAGTGGATTTCTGGCCTGCACGGCAGAGCTTGCTCGCGGCCATGTTAACGGCTATGAAATGCACGACACCGGAGCAGAGGTGGAGCTTGCTGCATGTCTACCTCTACGATCAAGTGTGCCGCACCTACATTCGCAACAAGCTGCAGGACATGCGCAATGAAAATCTCACGAAAGGCCGTTGTGGCGTTATCAACGGCTTCGACCTCGCGATAGCCAGGCCTGACCAAAAGAGGAAAGTTCTTGGCACCACCTCGGTGTCGTCATTTCTGACGACTTTTAGAGCCGGTAAGAATCACCTTGGTGTGTGTCCTTTCCACCACATGCCCTTTGCCCTTTACACGCTTTGGTTTTGCACATTTGCCCCCAAATTACTTTCTGGTACCTCGGAGGTGGTGCGCATTGGAGGTGGTGCAGGGCTGCCTCTTCACCTCTATGGGCTACGCATTGGCTGGGAGCCTCCTCTCAGTAGTGCCTTCTCCCTACTCATGGTTCTCCCCCCCTTGTGTTTTTTCCACCCTATCCTTTGTCTCTGCAGGTGCGCATTGGAGGTGGTGCAGGGCTGCCTTTTCACCTCTATGGGCTACGCAATGGCTGGGAGGCTTCTCTCAGTGGTGCCTTCGCCCTACTCATGGTTTCCCCCCTCTTGACCTAAACCCACCATCCTTTGACTCTGCAGGTGTGCGTTAGAGGTGGTGCAGGGCTGCCTCTTCATCTCTATGGGCTACGCAATGGCTGGGAGCCTTCTCTCAGTAGAGCCTTCTCCCTACTCATGGTTTCCCCCCTCTTGTGGTTTTCCCCCCTTCCTTTGTCTCTAAACCCTAAACGCCTTGGAGGTGGTGCAGGGCTGCCTTTTCACCTCTATGGGCTACGCAATGGCTGGGAGCCTCCTCTCAGTAGTGCCGCTACTCATGGTTTCCCCCCCCTTTGTGTTTTTCCCCCTATCCGTTGTCTCTGCAGGTGCGCCTTGGAGGTGGTGCAGTGCTGCCTCTTCATCTCTAAGGCCTACGCAATGGCTGGGAGCCTTCTCTCAGTAGAGCCTTCTCCCTACTCATAGTTTCCCCCCCTTTGTGGTTTTCCCCCCTATCCTTTGTCTCTGCAGGTGCGCATTGGAGGTGGTGCAGGGCTGCCTCTTCACCTATAAGGGCTACGCAATGGCTGGGAGCCTTCTCTCAGTAGAGCCTTCTCCCTACTCATGGTTTCCCCCCTCTTGTATTTTCCCCCCTTCCTTTGTCTCTAAACCCTAAACGCCTTGGAGGTGGTGCAGGGCTGCCTTTTCACCTCTATGGGCTACGCAATGGCTGGGAGCCTCCTCTCGAATGAGCCTTCTCCCTTCTCATAGTTTCCCCCACTTTGTGTTTTCCCCCCTATCCTTTGTTTCTGCAGGTGCGCCTTGGAGGTGGTGCAGGGCTGCCTTTTCACCTCTATGGGCTACGCAATGGCTGGGAGCCTTCTCTCAGTAGAGCCTTCTCCCTACTCATAGTTTCCCGCCCTTTGTGTTTTTCCCCCCTATCCTTTGTCTCTGCAGGTGCGCATTGGAGGTGGTGCAGGGCTGCCTCTTCACCTATAAGGGCTACGCAATGGCTGGGAGCCTCCTCTCAGTAGTGCCTTGTCCCTACTCATAGTTTCCCCCCCCTCTTGTGTTTTTCCCCCCTATCCTTTGTCTCTGCAGGTGCGCATTGGAGGTGGTGCAGGGCTGCCTTTTCACCTCTAAGGGCTACGCAATGGCTGGGAGCCTCCTCTCGAATGAGCCTTCTCCCTTCTCATAGGTTCCCCCCCTTTGTGTTTTTCCCCCCTATCCTTTGTTTCTGCAGGTGCGCCTTGGAGGTGGTGAAGGGCTGCCTCTTCTTCTCTAAGGCCTACGCAATGGCTGGGAGCCTTCTCTCAGTAGAGCCTTCTCCCTACTCATAGTTTCCCCCCCTTTGTGTTTTTCCCCCCTCTCCTTTTTTGCCGGTGCGCATTGGAGGTGGTGCAGGGCTGCCTTTTCACCTCTATGGGCTACGCATTGGCTGGGAGCCTCCTCTCAGTAGTGCCTTTTCCCCACACATAGTTTCCCCCCTGTTGTTTTCCGCCCCCATCCTTTGAATCTTCAGGTGCGCCTTGGAGGTGGTGCTGCTCATTGGCTGGCACAGTAATGGCTTAATCTCTCCTGTTCTCTTGCTGCACAACATGCCTTGTATGATTTGCCTGAGGGTGTGTTCTATGGCCCATGTAGTGAATGGGTCATTCGGACTACTGACGTGGCATGTGAACCGCTATGGTGTGCCGTTTGCGACTGCGGTTTATGTCCGAAGCATCGCTGCGTCGTTTGCTCGTCCAGGGCACTCGGTGGTGGTGCTGAAAGTGATTCTCATCGCGTTTTGGCTGTTCGGGGTGAGTTCTGCTTTGTGTACTGGGTACTAGCTGAAAATCTTTGTAGGTTGTCTAATATGTCATTTTAATATTTGTGTTTGGGTGGTTCGCAGGTGGAGCACAAACTGAAGAAAGGGACCGATCTTTCCAAGAGCACAAAGGAGAACCGTGACGGCGTGGCAATTTATCACCGTGCCGTCAAGGATTGGGTCAACGCAGCTATTGCCATTGCCAACAATGTGAGGGGGCCCTGGTGGAACAACTGCTACTCTGCCTGGAAGTTTTCAAGTGCAACGAACAATATGTTTATTAGCGATGATGTGCTGGATGATGATTGAAGGTAGCTCTAAACACACATTTTAATAGTTTTTTTTAAGCTATTAGTAGTACTGCATGCATATTAGAACAATAATTGGTGCAGTGTAGCTAGACAAGGAGGATGCATAGTACTGTAGCAGTTGTTATTATTAAATAAAATAAAATCACAATTATTGTAAAAAAAATTCGAAATATAGGAATTTATGTCTCAAAGGTTCAGAACAGTGATTTCAGCGATATCTTCATTTTATCAAAAGTATTCAGGCAAATGTGACTATACTGAAAATAAAAGGTTCAATTCCAATTTGACTCTATTTTGTCTGAAGCTAAACAATGTAGCATGTTAAATTTCAGAAAAGGAAATTTCAATAAGAGGTACAAAATGTGCGACTACTGACTTCGCTTCACGTTACCAATTTGGAAACCATCCACTCCGATGGGGCTCCCTCAGATTCGCGCACCACTGAAGTAAGCGAGCGATGCCAGCAATCACACAGCAAGATTTGTTCTAGACCAATCTGGAGCTATCAGTGTTGAGCGGGAAAATGCTCAACCAGTGTGTAAACAAACGAGTGCAGTCCACGTCATATTACCTGATTGGTTGACCAATTCACAGTTACGATAGGGTAAGTCTCAACAGGTTTGAGATGAGCGGCTGCGATTCGTCGCCAAGCATGAGTGTCCGACGGGTATGTTTTTTAGTGTCAACTGGGTATGGCCTGTTCGACCAACCTGCGAGCCACCCCCAGGAAGGTTTTCAGTAACTTTCGCGTCCCCGCTTTTTTGCGATGGCTGATGCGCGCTGTGTGCTGATGCGCGCTGTGTGCTGATGCGCGCACTAGGATGGTGATGAGTCGCGCAGTGCGGGGATGCGCTACGCGCGTTGTGCGGTGATGAGAGCAGTGAGTGGAATAACAAGGTGCGGGGATGCGCGCAGTGCGGGGATGAGCCGCGCAGTGCAGAGATGCGATGATTGCGGAAATGCACGGCGCGGTGAGGGGGGAAAGCGGCGAGGGGGGGGGGGGGGGAAATTATTGGCAACTGAAGTCACGTTTTGACAAGCTTGCCCTCCGCGTCGCCATTCATCATACCATGACGAACGCTATGCGCAAAGAGTGAGGCGCACCTGACGCACCTGACGCGTCTCCTCACAGAGAGTGGGGACGCAGAGGAGGAGGAGGGGCCCTTGCTTCTGCGTGCTGACGTGCCACACATAATGGCATGACATGACGTGCCATATGGCGGTTATGCGGCACCTGTCCATCCGACTAGAGTGCCGCATGCACGATGGCTGCATGCTACCACTGCAAGCAAGCTTTCTGCTCACACTTTCTTCACGGCTGCTTCTCGCTTTCTGCTTGTTCCTGCTTCCATGTGTGCAGGTGTACGTGCTGGCGAAGCAGTGCACCAGCGAGTTACCACCAGAGCTGTTCGCCATAAAGCTGGGCCGCCACTTCGTGTCCTTCTATGACGTGGTTAGTTCAGCCCCAGCCCCACCCCCTCCCCTCGAGTGCACTACGCACGCACCACAGCCTTACGTTCGCCATCAAGCTGGGCCGTTACTTCGTGTCCTATGTTGTGGTTAGTTCGGCCCCCTAGTGCACACTCAGTCAGTCACCCCCCCCTGTGCAATACGCACACAAGTTTGTACTCTTTTCCACTTCTCACTTCCTTCCAATTCTTCCCCCCATCGGTTTCCCCTATCTCCCCCACCGCTTTCCCCCCACCGCTTCCCCCCACCGCTTTCCCCCCACCGCTTTCCCCCACCGCTTTCCCCCACCGCTTCCCCTTACCGCTTCCCCCGACCGCTTCCCCCGACCGCTTCCCCCTACCGCTTATCCCTACCGCTTCCCCCTACAGCTTCCCCTGACCGCTTAACCCTACAGCTTCCCCCTACAGCTTCCCCCTACCGCTTTCCCCTCTGCTGCACCATTGGAGCATAGGTCAACGGCATGCACCATGCGTGGCATGCACCATGCGAGGCATGCACCATGCGTGGCATGCACCATGCGAGTTGACAACATGCACCATGCAACGTCTTCTCCCTTGCTGGCGTTCAAGCATGCACCGACGGCCATGCCATGCCACCACGCACCCACCATGGCACCTTGACCCCCCCCTTCCCTCTCCACCCCCCCACCAGGTGACAGCAGCGTCCATCCGCATTGTGGAGCGGCTTCCTTCTCTTGCACAGACCATGCACCCACTCTCTCCATCCCACCACCCCCCCCACCCCCCTCTTCCCCTCCCCACCACCAGGTGACAGCAGCGTCCATCCGCATTGTGGAGCAGCCATGGCAGCGCGTGCACGTTGGGGGACAGCCACACGACCACGGTAGGTTGCAGTGTGTGTTGTGCGGTGGGGTGAAAGTGAATGGTTTATGGGGTGGGGGGTGGTGTGGTGTGGTGGTCGGTGGTCGCATAACAATAGGGAGTGTGTGGTATGTGCTGTGGTAGGCACCATTTCGCTGGTACGTATAGTTGCTGCTGTGGAGGAATGCCCATGCTACTCTGCTCTGCTTTGGCAGGCAGTCAGCACCACACTGCTCTGCTCTGCGTTTCGCTGCTCCGTGTGTTGCTGCATGATGACCCTCCCCGGCACTGCACTCATCGCATGGCGTGGCTTGGCATGGCATGGCATGGCATGATGGCATGGCATGACATGATGGCATGGCATGACATGATGGCATGGCATGACATGATGGCATGGCATGACATGATGGCATGGCATGACATGATGGCATGGCATGACATGATGGCATGGCATGACATGATGGCATGGCATGACATGATGGCATGGCATGACATGATGGCATGGCATGACATGATGGCATGGCATGACATGATGGCATGGCATGACATGATGGCATGGCATGACATGATGGCATGGCATGACATGATGGCATGGCATGACATGATGGCATGGCATGACATGATGGCATGGCATGGCATGATGGCATGGCATGACATGATGGCATGGCATGACATGATGGCATGGCATGACATGATGGCATGGCATGACATGATGGCATGGCATGACATGATGGCATGGCATGACATGATGGCATGGCATGCATGATGGCATGGCATGACATGATGGCATGGCATGACATGATGGCATGGCATGACATGATGGCATGGCATGACATGATGGCATGGCATGACATGATGGCATGGCATGACATGATGGCATGGCATGACATGATGGCATGGCATGACATGATGGCATGGCATGACATGATGGCATGGCATGACATGATGGCATGGCATGACATGATGGCATGGCATGACATGATGGCATGGCATGACATGATGGCATGGCATGACATGATGGCATGGCATGACATGATGGCATGGCATGACATGATGGCATGGCATGACATGATGGCATGGCATGACATGATGGCATGGCATGACATGATGGCATGGCATGACATGATGGCATGGCATGACATGATGGCATGGCATGACATGATGGCATGGCATGACATGATGGCATGGCATGACATGATGGCATGGCATGACATGATGGCATGGCATGACATGATGGCATGGCATGACATGATGGCATGGCATGACATGATGGCATGGCATGACATGATGGCATGGCATGACATGATGGCATGGCATGACATGATGGCATGGCATGACATGATGGCATGGCATGACATGATGGCATGGAATTACATGGCATCACATCGCATTGCATGGTGTGGCTTGGTGGCATCGCATGACATAGCATAACACGGTATGGCACGGCATGGCATGGTGTGGCATGACATGGCACGGCATGGCATCGGGTTGCATGACATGTGGCACGGCAGGATTCACGCTGGGCAGGGAGAGGCGGGTGGCGGAGGTGGAGGTGGATGCAGCGGGGCAGCACCGAGTGAAGGCTGGTGTTGAGGAATACTCGGTGCTCAAGACCACTCAGGTGAGGAAGGTAGTGGGAGTTGAGAGAACACTGAGGGGAATGTAGGGGATGATACAGTGCAGTTGTCATGGATGGGGAGGGCAGTGAGGATTACGGGCGGTGAGGAGAGGGTGAGGGTTGAGTTGCGATCAGTGAGGGGGGAATCAGAGGGTTGTTGTGCCGTAATGGTCGTGGATGGTGAAGGGAGCGGGACAGCACAGTGTGGGGTGGGCGTGGAGGAGTAGTCTGTGCTTGAGAGTCAAGACGAGACCAGTGAAGGGAGTGGGAAGGTTGAGACACTCACCTGATTGTGGATGGTGAGGGCATCGGCATTGCATTGTTTCCGTAGAATTTGAGACACGCTTCCGTCACCGTGTCAATCCGTCTTTGAGGGTGTCACCTTTTCATCGACCTCCCCTTCACCTCCCTCCCGTTCTTCCTTCTCAGCACCCCCCGCTCTTCCACTTCACACCCCGCTTCACCCTGTCACCTTCCACTCCACCCTCACATTCCTCCCCCAATCCGGCATGGCTCACAATTGGAAGATCTCGTTTACCGCACCAGCGAGCCCATTCTGACTGATTTGGGTGCTGCCCTTTCCCCACTGCTCTCCTTTCTCCCTTCTCTTCGTTCTCTCTGCTTTCCATCCTCTCTGCTCCCCTTACTCTCTGCTCTCCTCTCTTCCCACTCTCCTTTCTCCCTGCTCCTCGTTCTCCCGGCTCCCCTTTTGTCTCTGCCCTCCTCTCTCCGATTTTTTCTCTGCTCCTCTTTCCCTTGGCTCCCCTGCATCCCCCTCTCACTCTGGCTTTGAGGGCTTCATGCGCAACCAGAGCACGCTGCTGCCACACCCAAGGAGCCACAGCCACATCGATTTCTCTGCTGTCCTTTGCCCACTGCTCTCTGCTCTCTCCTTTCTTCTCTCTGCTTCCCTTCCCCCCTCAAATCTCCAGTCTGGCTTTGAGGGCTTCATACGCGATCAGAACACGCTGCTGCCAGACACAAGGGAGCGCATCCTCGCCACCACAGTGCAGGCCACGTGGAGGTGAGCAGTGAGTACCACGTGGAGGTGAGCAGTGATGCCACGTGGAGGTGAGCAGTGATGCCACGTGGAGGTGTTGATGCCACGTGGAGGTGAGCAGTGATGCCACGTGGAGGTGAGCAGTGATGCCACGTGGAGGTGAGCAGTGATGCCACGTGGAGGTGAGCAGTGATGCCACGTGGAGATGAGCAGTGAGTTCTGCATGGTGGTGAGGATATCCCTTCTCCACACCTCGCACCGTCTGTGCCGCCATGTATCTCTGACAACCCCTATTTCTGTCACCCTCCGCGTGCGTCTTGCTGTGTGTCATATGTCTGTGTGCCACACGATGAAGTTTCTCCCTCGCCTGCGTGTATGTCACCCACCACCTCCGGGTTCCCATCTCTTCCACACGCGCATTCATGTCCCACACAACATCTTCTGTCCTGAACTGTTCCGTTCCTCGTCCTACACCCCCTCTAGCTACGCTCGCAATCCCTCCAATACAATGCTTCCTTCCCAGTGGTCGTGGTGGCCCTCCTTGATCAGACTCTCGCCTTCACCGCTCTCAGCACACATCCAGCCATCACCTTCACGCCTTTCAAGTCTCAACAGCTAAATAACCCTCCCTGCGCCTCTCGCCTGTTCCCATCCCCCACCCCCAGCTACTCGCGTGATCCTCCGTGCTTCCCTGCAGCCTACTCACCGGCCAAAGCAGCCTTCACAGACTTTCACCCTGACCTGCTCTCTCCTCAACCAACCCTTCTGGTATTCCCACAACTGTTCCCGTCCCTCCAGCTACTCGCGCGACCCCCCGTGCTTCAACGCGGCCTACTCAGCGGCCAAGGCAGCCCTGACAGACACTTTCTTTGGGCCGCCCCAAGGGGGAGTCTACAGCCCTTCAGTGCAGCGCACACTCTTCCTCATGGGCGAAGAGGTGCTGTCAAGGTGAGGAGGATGGGGAGGAGGGGATGTGTGACACTCGTTTGGGCTTGACTTTGGGCATGTCTCTCTGCAGCTCATCTTATTTGTGCCTATCCCTCTGTAACGCACCTTGCATTTACCTCTCTCACTGCATGCAACCGTCAGAGTGCCTCCTTTTCTATAATGAGGCAGACAGCGTGCCTCTTTCTCTATAGTGCATCGCTTGTGCCCGCCCCTTCTCTACATAACAGAGCTACATGTTCCTCTCTCTACAACACACCTTGGTTAATACATGTATCTGTCTCTTATCTATACCTCTCCCTCCGCATCACATCTCGCATGCAATTCTCTCACTGCACTCATACACCCATCAGAGTGCCAGAAGCAGACAGCGTGCATCTGAAGCTGCCCAATCTGCACTTCATCCCCGTCAACCTGCCAGGCATTGGTCTGAAGGTATGTTGCTGCTGCCCCGCCCCCACCCTCTCACTGCCCTCTCACTGCCCTCTCACTCCCCTCTCACTGCCTTCTCAATCCTCCCTGTTCCCCACCCTCTGCACGCTTCCCCCGCTCTCATCAGCGTGAGGACGCCATGTATTCACCCACCAGCGAGCCTCCTGACAGCATCGAGGCTTGTGTATGACCCCTGCACACTCGCCCCCACTTGCTTCAACCACTCCTCCCTGCACCCCCTCACCCTAACCCCTCTCACATCAGTGTGAGGATGACGTGTATCTGCCCACCAGCGAGCCCCATGGCAGCATTGAGGCGTGTGTCTCCCGCAAGACAGCAGCACTTACAGCAAGGCTTTAAGGCACAAGCGCCTGCAGCAAGGCTTTAAGGCAGCAGCGCGTGCAGCAAAGCTTCGAGGGAGGAGCGCGTGTAGCAAGGCTTTGAGGCAGCACTGCCCACACATGGGTCCGAGACGCACATGACCCACATCACACGACGAGATACGGTACAAGCTGCACACATCTCGCTATCCCTTCTTCCACACGCACCCCCCTAGCCAATAGCCCATAGCCCATGGGTTGTTGCAATGCAGTGTGTGCAAGGTGCCAGGCTGCCGGTGTAGGCAGCATGCGCTGGTGGGCTACTGTATCGCGTATGGTTGAACACTTCTAATGGCATGACATGCCCGTTTCCTACACATAAGAAGTACTCTGCACATGTATTAACGATACATGCACATGTTCATTTGGACCAGCGCGTACCGTAAATAGGTAGGTCGTGTTGGTCCAATATATGGATATATGACATTGTGTTTCAACACTTGGGTACTACGGTATCAAGGAGCATGATGTTACCCTGCTTAAGACAATTGTTTAACAATGGTCAATCAATCCAACACCATGCTGTCACTCTGGTCAGACCATGCAGGGATGATCAAGCTCCAGCGTTTTTTTCAGCTGCCCAACCCAAGTGACTCTTCTAGCAGCAGAAATACCTACAAGAACTAGACGTTTTCCAGCTGCTTAAAGCCCGCATGCAAAATAGTGACCCCCCCCTTCTAGTTGGGTCCACTAGAAAGCTCATGAAAATTTCCAGAAAGTATGGTGTTTTTTTCTGAACAGGGCAAGTCCCCAAGTAGTAACAAGACCGATTTGAAGTTGTTTCCGAATTCTGATACGATCAGTCGCAACTTGCACAGAATTGTCGCAAGCTTGCTATGACATTTCCACTTCTCCCACCCATCCAAATCCGCATCGAGCACAACACATCACAAATTTCACAACGGAACCTGCCACCACACACGCAGCATACACACAATGTTGAGCTAACTAACAACACAGAGTGATGCAAGTAGCAAACAGAAGAACGACAAGGTGACTCGAGAGGAGAGGGGCCGACGGGAATTAGAACGGTAAGGGAGGGGGTATAGCGAGGGCGATTTACAGTACAATGGGGGAGATCGCGGGCGACGGAAAATGGAGTAGATCGCGTAGGCGACTGCAAATAGGGGATCGCTATGAGATCGCGTGGGAGATAGCGAGCGCGACGGGGAGAGGGGGGAGAAACAGCGAGCGCGACGGAGTGAAGGGGGGAGATAGCGACGGCGCGGAACGTGATGGGAGATAGCGACGGCGCGAGACGTGCTTGCTAGCTTAAATTATGTCGCGAGACGTGATCGGAGGGGAGGCCATGAGCGCGAAGGCGATGCGAAGACAGGTGCACGTGAGCGCGATGGTGACGGGAGGGCGGAACGTGAGCGCGATGCCGATGGGAGGGGAGGACGTGAGCGATAGGAGATGAAGTGGGGAAGGAGAAAGGCGACGGGAGGGAGAGCGATAAGGCGATGAGAGGGAGAGCGGACAGGCGACGGGAGAGAGAGCGCGAAGGCGAAGGTAGGGAGGGTGGACAGGCAACGGGAGGGAGAGCGCGAAGCAGACGGGAGGGAGGGCGCCGACGGGAGGGAGAGCGCGAAGGCGAGGGGAGGGGGAGCGGACAGGCGACGGGAGAGAGAGCGCGAAGGCGAAGGGAGGGAGGGCGGACAGGCAACGGGAGGGAGAGCGCGAAGGAGACGGGAGGGAGGGCGGACAGGCAACGGGAGGGAGAGCGCGAAGGAGACGGGAGGGAGGGCGCGAAGCCGACGGGAGGGAGAGCACGAAGGCGACGGGAGAGAGAGCACGAAGGCGAGGGGAGGAGGAGCGGACAGGCGACGGGAGAGAGAGCGCGAAGGTGAAGGGAGGGACGGGGGTTCAGGCAACGGGAGGGAGAGCGCGAAGGAGACGGGAGGGAGGGCGGACAGGCAACGGGAGGGAGAGCGCGAAAGAGACGGGAGGGAGGGCGCGAAGCCGACGGGAGGGAGAGCACAAAGGCGACGGGAGAGAGAGCACGAAGGCGAGGGCGGGGGGAGCGGACAGGCGACGGGAGAGAGAGCGGACAGGCGACGGGAGGGGGAAGGGATATCGCGAGGGAAAAGGGGGACATCGAAGGCAACGTGAGGGAAGGGAGATAGTGAGGGCGACGGGAAGGAAGAGGGGACATCGAAGGCGAGGGGCGGGAGAACGGGAAGGCGACGGGATCGGAGGGAAATCGCGAGGGCGAGAGGACAAGAGGGGTGAACGGGAGAATAACAGACCGGGAGGGGAGACCGTGACGACGACGGGAGGGCCGTTACGCGTGTGTTTGCGAGGGCGACGGAAAGGCGACGGGACGGACTAGAGAGCGAGGCGACGGGCAAATTGATTGAGACAGGAAACTGGCACTGCGCTACCAGGCCATGTAAACCTACATTTCACACTCTTGCTAAGTCGACGATTGACGCACTCGTCGGTAATTACGTGGCTATGACACGAACGCCTGTGCTTTCAGCTATACTACTTACTATGCTATGCGGAAACTAGTGATGAATGGAGTGACAGAAATCTAGTAATGCACCCATCACCAGCTTGAAAATGAGGTTGGGCCTGCGATGGGAAACCATCGCCTGGGGTTTGTCGTGCGGATGCGGCACGCAAAAATGCGACGGCTGATATGAGAAAGAAAGTTCATTTTGGCGGGAACCATTACGTTCCATTGTGGCGAGAGCCAATAACATGAGTTCACTCTGCCCATACAAATCGTTTGAAACAGTGTTTTTGATACTGGTTTCATCCTCACTTGCAACTCCTCATTCAAGTTGGGACGGGGGTCACTATTTTGCATGCAGGCTTTAAGGGTTTTTGTCAGGTTAAGTAGGCCGTGCATAGAGGAGAGGGTGAGGGAAGAGAGGGCAGGGAGCGTGGAGAAGGAATCAGGGAGAGGCGAACTGCGAGCAGCTAGACAGAGATAGGCTGGTGAGAGACGCCAGGCCCCAGGGCTGCTGTGCGGTGCCCTGCTCCTTGCTGTGCCTGTGCCTGTAGCTATGGCTGTGGCCTGTTGGCCGTATTGGATTGAGTGCAAGAAGTGGTGGGGCCAGCAGCAGTGGCTGTAGGAGCGACAGTGGCAGAAGCAGGAGCAGGGTCAGGAGGAGGACGAGGCGCAAGGGCAGCAGCAATGGAAAAGAGCAGAAGTAAGGGAGCAGGACAGAGGAAATGAGGGATCCGGAGCACTCAATGGCTCTAGGGACTCGAGGCGAGGGCAGGAGGTGATTTGGAGCTCTTCCAGGCGCGTCAGCATGGCCAGCTGGGGGGGCAGCTGCCTCAGTTCCCTGCAGCCCTGCAGGTAAAGCCGCTCCAGGCTGTGCCTCACACTCCCCGTGCACAGGCTTTCAGGCAGCTGCAGCAGACCCACTCGCTCGATTGTCAACGACCTCAATCGATGTAAATTGCCCATGCTCTTGGGCAGACAACAGAGGCTGGGCAGATCGAAGAGCTTTAGTTTTTCAAGCTGCACGAGGGCTCCAAGGTTATCAGGAAGGGAGGTGAGTGCAGGGCATGAGAAGATGACGACAATGGAGAGGGGGAGGGAGCAGATGGTGTCTGGCAGGCTCTGGAGGGACATGCAGCGAAGTAAAACCACCTCCAATCGCACCATCGCCCCCATCACATGCACAGGCAAGTGCGTCAAACGATGGGACAGCAGCGAGAAGTAACGAAGGTTTGTGAGACGCCGGAAGAAATTGGGGATCGACTCCAACATTTCCATTTCCATTTCTATTTCTTCCAATCGCGTTAAGTAACCAATCGAATTAGGGAGGGGAGCGAGAGAGGGGTTGGTAATCCTCAAGCTTCGGAGGTTCGTGAGGCTGCCGATGGAATCCGGGAGACCTTTGAACGGCGGTCCTGATCCCAGGATGTGGAGTTCCTGCAGCTGCTGAAGCGCGCCGATGCTTTCAGGCGGCAGAACGAGATGCGCGAATCGATCCACGCCTTTATCAGCGGAGCGGTAGAGCTGGAGGCTTCTCAGGTTTGAGAGGAGAGCGATGGCGGGCGGGAGATGCGGGAGGGAGTGGAGGGTGAACAGGCAGAGTTCGCGGAGCTTGCGACAGCCATGGAAGAGAGATGTGAGGCCGTTGCAAGAGACGTGCATGCGAAACTGGTAGTGCACGGTCAGATGTGTCAAATGCGGACACGACATCGCAAAACAGGGGGGAGGGGATTGTGACATGCGCGAATCTTGTTTGCATCTTCCTCGTCTATCAGGAATTGGGAATCATGCGAGAATGTTGCTCGCATGATTCGTGGGAGTGTTGTTAGGGTGTTGCGTGTTTTTCGAAGTGGTGCGCGTGTTTCTGGGCACTTGAAGTCAACTCCGCAGGCCCAGCTAGATGGTTTCGTGGTAGCAAACTGTTCATCGCGCTTTTCATATTTCAAGAAATTGTAACAAACAGTGCTATTAAACTTGAATTGGTAATGTTACATTTTTTTGTCAACCCGCTTGGTATTATAATTCGGTGGATATTGAGATATTCGTGAAACAAATATCTTGCCAATGCTAGTGTAAACCTTGCCAATATCTTGCCAATGCTTTATGTGCAATTTTTTATCATATTTTTTAAACTTTTTGACATGTTTTCTAAAAATATTAAATAC